CTTTAGTTCCAAGGACCAAGCTTTACCAGAATGACACAACGAATCCAGTCACTCCAACATACAGGCTTCAGTATCTGTGGTGGCAAAACAGACGATCCAAGTCTTTCACCATCCCAGCTATTTAACATGTTGAAAGCAAAAAGCAAAGACTACTCAGAAATCTACTTGGGCAAAAGTATTCACAACTCTCTCATCATCAAATCACAAGTCACATGCGGCAATGTCTTCTTAATTCTTAATCCCCACTACCCTTGCTTACTCCAAAAACACCTGACTGAATAGTTTGAGTGATATTACCCCCTCCTCATGGGATGGGTAAATTTTCAGAGGGAGCTTTGGGGCCCATGTAGGTCTTGGTCCCAGGCTCCCTCACTCTGATTAGGAGCTAGGCCCTTTCCTTTGCACAGAGTATTTTGTGGAGGAAGGAGTCCCTCTTTTACTCCCAAAGCAGTTCAGCTTTGCTAGATCACTGAAGGGAATGGAATAGGCCCACAAACAGAAGAGAAGTTTTGCGGGTGAAGTACAGCTGGCACAACAGCCAGCRCTGCCAGCGACTTCTGAGGTGGGCTCAGGGCCCTAGAACAAACGAGGAACCATCTCCAGAGCTTGTGAGAAGCACTTAGATTCAGCTGGGGGAAGCCCCAGTTGCTGCCAACCAAAGCAGCAGTTCTGGACTCCCAGCCTATTCCCAGACACTTTCCCAAAGGCAGAGGCAGGAGAGTACCCCATCCCAGGGCTCTTGGCTCTTCCCCAAAAGGCCAGTGATCTTTCCTGTCATTGGTGAGCACGTATCCACGTCAYGTCTGATGACCAGACCCTGAGGGGGCTGCAGCCCACAACGCTCCGATGCTTCGCAGTCACTTCATGGGGTGCACATCCCATGACGTGGAAAAGCAGCTGTAACTTTTGGTTGGTAGGTCTTTCCCAAGATGTCGCGCGGAGAAGTTGGGCATTTGCAGCCCCGTTTGTAACTAACGTCTCGCTGCCTCTGGTCTTTGCAACTAACATCATCTGCTGGAATCAACAATTATGCAAAACACTGATATGCCGTTTAGGTTTGGAATATGAACATGGCTTTGAGACTTACCTTAACCTTGCTTAGSTGAAAAAAAAAATCTTTTTTTTTCCTAAAATACACTAGTGTCTTAAAAAAAAAAAAAAAACTTCTTAAAAAAAAGCAAAAAAGCAGCTTCCCATCAACCCATTTAACATCCGTGTTATACATTTCATTCACAAAACGTTTTGTTTTTAAAGCAGTAGTTTTACTTTTCTTTCATTTAAGCAAGCCTATTTCTTAATGACATCAAAGTCAGAAGTTAAGAAGAAAATAAATCACAGAAATAAAGAAGAAAAAAAGTAAATTATCAAAACTTGTGAAATCAGCAAATACCTAGAATGCTGCAAACTTTGAGTAACTGGAAAGTTAGAGGAAACACATCCTCAGAATTCTGCTCTGGGGACAGTTATATGAAGACACTACCACTGTATGGAAAAAAACACAATATTTTATAAAATGAAATATCATTACCCCTACGTGAAACTTTTGCTCATCTGATCCACCTTTTTCCTGTCAAAACTAGAATGCGGAACAACCACAAACCTTCTGCCTAGAAGTGGACACCACTCCTTTTCTAACAACTTTACTCGGTCTCTACAAAACTTTAGTCAACCTACTTAATATGCAATRATTTTCAAATTTATGAGATGAAATTAGTTACCTAAATAAACTCCTCTCCTAAATGTATACTTACAATCAGAAAGAGTGCAAATGAAGAAAACACATACTCACCTCTATGCATCATCCTAAAAGACCAGAAGGAATTATATTTAACTCCTTGAATACTTAACAGGTCAAAACAAAACTCCTCTCCAAATTTCATAGCTTTAAGGCACAATATAGTCCTATCAAAATCAAGTAATTTTACAAAAAAAAAAAAAAAAAAAAAAAGTCATTTTATACAATTATTTCAGGCAAGATGTTCCTCCTCAGAACCTCATGGAAAGAAGAAAAAAAAAAAAAAGTGGCTACTGCCAGATGCCATTTAGTGTTTTTTGACTTTGCGTGTTCTCCATTAGTATTTCAAAGATGCCCAAAATGTTTAAATAGGCTGTTAGAGCAGAACCTGCGTAAGGACTGGAATAGCAGGAAAAAAATATACAGCTGTAACACAGCTACAGAGGCTTCACGATTGCAGTCCCTGGTAAACGGGTGCCAACAAGACAATGGGAAAAACAYCCCCACACCTGTCTGCACACCCATTTATGTGTTTCAAAGTCTCCCCCCTTTCCCCAAGCAGTGCCTTTTTATTGGGGGTTCTAGAAGTACTTTTGAAATCCAGATACTCCATACTATCCAGGATAAGCCTGCAAATGAGAATAAAAACATTATCATCTGCTGTAGCACATAAAGCTGCATGTAGTAACAGCTTTAAAAATAAGAAAAAGAAGTAACAACCAATTCTACTTCACACACTGAACTGCCTCTGTCCCATTTCCACACCAGAGCTCTAGAAAACATCCTTGATCTAAGTGTGATTCCAGCTCCTCCACGCTGCCAAGAACTTCAGGAGCCCAGTTCCATATTCCTCCATTGGCTAATGAGAATTGTATTGACTAGCACAAAAAAAAAAAAAAAAAAAAAAAACACCCAAAATGCCTGAAAAACTTTGCTTCAATTACAGGCCTGAGTGGAAGACAAGAACAATCCCATTACCAAAGAAAAAAAAAAAAAGCTATTTTTTTAAAATGTCTTTACTACATACAAGAACAAATGCAGGATGTGATGTTTGCTTAGTTTATTAATTTATTTTTGCAGGAATCTGCAACTCTGAGTATGCACTTTCTGGAGGTACCATGCATGCATAGCCTCTGAATGCCTTTGTACAATTTCATCTCTTAGTAATAAGTTCATTCACAGCATACACAAATCTAGAATGTAGACACCATATATACAGGATTAAACAAGATCGTGTCTTGTTGTTTTAATGAAAAAAATAAACAGGGTTTCACACAGCAGGAAAGATGGATTAGATACACTGGTGCCACCATAAATAAATAAATTTCAAGAACACAGTTTTAAAAAATCTGTCTCCAAGGTACTGAAAATTCAAGATTATAATATTGCATTAACTCCATTGATTTTTGATTATTCAAAACCAAGAAAAATATTGGCATTAACATTTACGGACATAAACAGCAACAAAAAGCCCCAACTGAAGAAACATGACAAATTCAGTCATGGCCAACTTCAAATAACGTTGACATTTTGTAACGAAACAGCTGCAGCAGCACGTGGAGACAGTACTGGCTAGGAGAGGTGTTATTTGTGCATGTCCTCCTTCGGAACGGGACGGAGTCACTGCAGTTTAGAGCCCGTGAGTTCTCTGATACCAGAGAGGCTGATGAGCTGATGAATTGTCTATGTCCAACTGTCCACTTGTCAGAAAAGTCATTTTCACATTCTAGGGTGCACCACTGAATTTGAAAACAAAGTATCATTCTGATAACAAGCTTTTTTTTTTTTTTTTGAACATACTTAATATTTTCACATTCTTTTTTAAAAAAACATTCTTTATTGTTTTCATTTTGGTTTGTCCTTGTTTCAACTCTGGAAGTTTATTTCAGTTTCAAGGGGGGAGGAGGGGTTACAATCAATATTAAATGTAAAAGCATTGCAGAAATTGAAAAGAGAGATGCATCACTGGGAAAGATAAATAACTGAAAGGTTTGTTTTTAAAACTGTGATTTAGTAGCATATCATTATCAGAAATTACTGAGACCAGCTCGTTTAAGAATTATTACACCTTTTCACCACACCTCCCACTTTTCAAGGGAACACACACACATACCACAGACACACGGATACACAGTTCAATCTGATCTAAGACTACGTTTTACAAAGTACTTCCTTTAGCTTGACTTCCTACCCCTTTCCTCCTCACCCAAACAAGACTAATAATGACATCAAATTAAAAGCAGATCTGAAGTTCAAGATTTCTTTTGGTTTACTATACTCTGAATCATTTTCCACAAGCCCCACTCTAAGTAAGCTTTTAAAGAACTACAGTAGTATTCTAGAATTAAAGCAAATTCCTTTCAATAGCACAGTAAATATAAAATAAGCTTTATAAATTTAATCTCATTTAACAGTGAAATAATTTTGAATATCTGAGTGTCCAGGTCAATTATGAACTCTACCAACCTAGTAGCAAGGTTGGGGAAAAGCTCAGTCATTAAAGAAAAAAGGAGACCTCAAGTAGTGCATTAACGCAGTGGCAGCAGCATCCCACCATTCACACTCACACGCGCGCGTTTTACACAATACAGTGCATTGAATATGCCAGCTGACATGAGGGTTTCATACGCAGTCAATAAATATTACACGAACCAACCTTTTTAACACCACCTAAAATTCAGTTAGGGTGTGAAGGGTGTCGCCTGCTTTCAAAAGGAAAATGGATCATCCAAGATTCAAAATACAACTTGCTTTAACAAGCTTAAAGATACTCAAGCACCATGTAAAGGTTTTTACCATTAATGTTCATATATGGACATTTACAAATAAAGAAATACAACAGAAGGGTGTTTTTTGTCTTTTTTTTTTTTTTTTTTGCACAAGCAACAAATGAGAGTAATTGAAAAGATTTAAAAAAAAATGTTACTGGTAGGATGGAAACCACTTGCAATCTAATGGCACTCACTTAGTCTTCTAAGAGCATCTTGCTCTCAGGCAGCCTTTTTTGTCTTCCTCCAACTGGTGAAAGCTACAGCTAAGACGAAAAGGTTTCCCCAAGACCCAAAACCACACATATATGATTATTACAGCTCACAGAATTGTAGGACTTACATGCATTTTTTCCCAAAGCAGCATCTATGGTGTCTGAAAATTGCACAACTGTATTGACATGACTCATCTACTCTCATTTGCTGCCATTTTAGTGGCTATCATTTTGTAATTCCAGTAAAAACTAAAGCTGCTAAAAATTCAACAGAAGTACAAATGAATAGAAAGCTGAAATAATACAAAGGCAAAGGCATCACCATGGAAAAGYCATGAAGTTCCTGGTATTGTATCAAGTATTCATGATACAGCAAGTATTCATGATAACAGCTCATCCTAGATATAATGCTTCTGCTCATTTGTTTTCTAGCTATTTTGGTTTTGTCAGACTGTCCACTTACATGAGCAAAATTAATCATTTCCTAACTTCATTTCCAGACGTTTCCCCTTGCYCCCATGGACACACGATGAGCTCCACGTATAATACTACCGAACATTAGGAAGAWGGGAAACTAGTTCTGATGCCTTTTGACTTTGTTTTGCTCATCAGTGGTGCTTACGGACTCATGGAGATGAACCGATTTATTTCAAATTATGGTGAAGTTATTCTTAGTGCAAGAGCATACTGAAAAAAATGCCGGATACAATATCAGTTCCTCATTTAAGTTTTTTTTTTTTAATTGTTACCTTTATAAACTAAAGGAACAGGAGATACCAGATTGGAAATGCAGTCAAGATACATTTTCCTCCACCCACCCCTTACAAAGGCTGCTCACTTTTAAGCAAGGATTCAGACACGAGATTGCTCTACCGCAGCTTCACACGCTATCACACATCCAGTGAACTGCGGCAGTCGACCATATGGGCACGGCTGCCACGAGCTGGGAGCAAGGGCAGCTGCGCAAGGCAGCCCTGCCTGGAGAGCTCAGCRAGCACACGGTGCCTCACGACTGCAAGGCCAGCGACGGCGACTCGGCGCCCCTGCTCGCGGCCGCCTCGGGAGCCCCAAAGCTCCCGCGCGGCGTGCAGGGACGCCCTCCTCGCTCACACACAGCTTTACAGCATAGCCATTCAGCTGCCCAAACCCACGTTGGATTTCACAGATAATGAGGGCTTTATTACAGCAACCTGAAGCATTCAAACAAACCAAGCATCACCTTTATAATACAGTATATCATATGTGGAAAGGTACCAGTATGATTTTCAGTTGCAAGTTTTTTCTGTGTTCTTCAATCTACAGCAAATATTTCCTGACCAAAATAAAAAGAATGCAGTGTGTGAGTTTTCAAGAACTGCCATCTGCTATTTTATACAGGCTGGTTTATTAACAGTGTGCAAATAAATCTTTACTGAAGAGCTATTTGATTAATTATTTTTCAGCTAACTTCGGACTGGGGCACAAAGTACCTTCTGTGCTGTAAACATCATGAATTCTTCACCAACTGGAAGGTGAAAAGGCCTAAGGAGCAGAGTACAAACACTCCTCATACATAACCATGGCTGAGCTCAAGTCTTTCAAACTGAATTTGGAGTAGTCTGCATTTGGCATGTGTTCAGTGTACTGCTAGAGAGTACAGTCTGAGAAGATTATCATCTATAAAAGCATACTTTTAGCATTAAAACACCATGGCCTAATGAAAGCATGCAGCAGTATTTCATCTGTAATGCGGTAGAATTCATTCTTAGTTTATTACCAGTGTTGATACAGCCAGGTGAGCACTGTACAAGCAAAAGGGATTGTAAAAATCGCCTCTGGTTACACTCTCTAACACTCATACAGTATCTCATTTAGTCACCTTAGGTCGCTATTTCAAACAGCAATTTTTTGTAGACATAAGTTACCCTGAAAAAAAGCAGCAATTACGAATACCCTTCTCCTTGTTTTCTATACATTGCAAATTTATGGTTGCAATTACCTGTCTTCTTTTTCAGTAGCTTACAATCTAGAAGCACAGGGAGCCTTTGTTTTCCAGCTAGCTGGGGCCAGGTAAGTCAGCTCTGGCTCTTCAGGTTTTTTTTCTGGATAATTGTAATATTTCACACCATTACCAAGAGTTCTATTTTTATTTTTTAGAGACACTAAGCAGTATCTATACCACAGTACTAGATACCAGTAGTTATCTGCCTTCCTGTATACATTCGTTCAGAAACAAATCCTTTTACATTTTCAGGTATCCTTTTCTGCTTTGCTCACTGCGATGAGATAAGAAAATATTTCACCCTTAATTTATTTGTGTAGTGTGGCACAAGCAGAAACTTCTTGACACATTTCCCCCCACCCCTTGCCATATGAAGATTGTAGATGGGCAAAGGCTAGGCAGATGGACAGAAAGGTTCCCTGTATTTCCTTCTCTTACGCCTGTTGGCTGGAAAGCCTGTGTTCGACCCAGTGCAGCCCCTTCCCTGCTCTCAGGTGTACCGTGGCATCTCACACTGCTCACAGCGATTTAGGGCCGGGTGGTTCAGAAAGGTGCAGCTATCACAATTCCACGGAGCCCCTTCAAAGTCTTCATCTCTTGGCTGAGTCCGCGGAGTCTGTTTGGAGCTGTTTTGGTGCTCTAAAAGGAAACAAACAAAAAAGAAAACAATTTATATTATTTTACAGAAAAGGATTATATTTAGATTATCACCTGGACATCAGCTCATTAACTATTCTCTGATAAAATGAATCTGGAAATCTTTCTACGTAGGTAGCATTAAATACTCAGACTTTACAACCTAGATCAGAAATTCCTGAGGAGAAAGCTTTGAAGTATTTCACTTCTGTAGGAGTTACTTAATCACACTAGCTGAAACACATTAAGAGCAATCATTACAATTAGGTCACTAATACTGCTAAAGGTTTAATGAGCTTAGAATATAATGGAAAGTTTATCAYTAGCATTCCAGCACTAGCATTCCTGTAAGAAATGACTATTTATAGGTTTAAGAGCAGCAGTCTCTTGTAAAACCTTACATTTCAATAATCCTCCTACCTGAAGTGAAATTAGTTCCTTCTAACAGTTTGACAGACATCACTTCTCTGCAACTTTTTGTAGCGTGTACCCAGGTGGAAGAGAGTACAATAAAATGGTCAGCTTGTTTCAAGACAGGACGATTGTTTTCACCTTCTTGGGGCTTTGGGTCAGGGAGCGATCAGTATTCTAAGTTTGTTTTCATTCATAAAAATCAGTATGTAGTGAATCATATATTAGCCATTAACCCATGGAAAGACTTGGTTTTCTAATGTCCGCTACAACAGCTTTAAKACCTCAGTCTACCTACTAAAAGCGGAAATATGTCGAAGATGTGGAAATATTTAAGACACTTTACGAAGTTTTAAGATTCCAAACAACATTAACAYATGTATCCTAAAGAAATAAAGATATCCATCTGCTAAACAAACAGCTGCACGATACAGTTTATTTGGAGAATTTGCATCAGAAAAAAAGAAAAAAAGAGCGCAATTTGTAATTCAAAGTGCACACATTTTATTGTGTCATCTCGTCAGAAATCTAACAGATGGTGGATGACAAAATTAGCTCAACTAATAGTGAGGTTTATCTTCAAAAAGGTGGGGGGGGAACGGGAAAAAAAAAAAAAAAAAAGGAAAAAAAAAAAAAAAAAAAAAGGAACCACCTTGCTTAGATATAAATCATCCAGAAGCTGCGTGGTCACATTAGTTCTTTGCCAAGACTAAACAGATTACTCTTAAAGGAGCCAATAGTGGTGGCAGAATCTCTTGTGCCCGAGCTGTTCTGGGCCTTCGTGTTTTTCTCTCCTTAAATATTTCCACATATTCGCTACTTAAGAAAAATCAAACAGAAATACTGGCTTCAGAAGAGAGGGGAAAATATTTCCTTCCAATCAAAGCTCAGCTTCTAAAATCATTAAGCAACTCCTACCAACCAGACTTTATTTACAATATTTGAATTTTCAAGCAGAGGACACGACTACTGTATTAGAGCATTTTTCCACAMACAAGTTTCATTCATGTTAGCTACAGTAAGAAGAGACACAGTAAGTCTTATCATACAAGATTTTTCAAAGACCACTGTCTTCTCTGCATCWGACGACATGATCCTGCAGCGGCTGTTTCAGCAGAAAGACACAAACTGTTTACACTAGCATTTCAAAGAAGTTCTTTCAGATGACCTTAGAAACTAAAAGGAAAAAAGAACTGCATCCAAAATATCGGGGACTAATGGTAAGACTGCTCCAAARAGCCCCTTAAATGCAGCAGAGTCCAGAAAGCCGTTGAGCTGCACAGCCACTAGGTGTCTATGCTAGTGAACTCRGTCACTGCAGGCTGCACTTAATAAATACCCACCCACACCAAGCGGGACTCCTGAGCACACACAGAACCTCAGTGTCTTAGGATAGATGCAAAACCTAGAGACTTCATAAGTTGCATAGAAAGTAAAAGAAAGATACATAGGAAACTTGTAAAGGTGACATAATGATATCATTTTAGACACATGTTCCAGAGTTTCTGAAGGGGTCTACATATGATTACAAGCAGAAAAAAAAAGGCATTCTGCCTTAAGGTGTCTCAGATTCATGATATATTAAAAATAATAATAAAGAGGGGTACTCTCAAATTCACACTGTACATACAAAATGTTTAAAACATAACTGTGCAAGTTAAGACATAACTAAAGCTTCTGTTATAAATTCAACCTGAAATAAATATCCSAAATTTAAAATTATAGGATGACAATACCATATATGATGAGGCTGAAAAACTCTTAATGTAAGACTTGAGCCTTCTAATTAATTTTTGAAAGACTTAAGATGTAAGAGTTTGTGAACTTCCACCTCTTCTTCCCAACAAAAAACAACATTTACAAAGAACATATTAACAAAATAATTTCAAATACCTTGACAAAAAACAAGTTGCAGGTAGTATTACTATTTTAAATCAAAATTATCTTTCTTATATAAATATAAAAATAAAAATAAAAACTGCTTCCTGCTGCAAAAGAGTTATTTACCTAATCTGCAATTAGAAAGTTTAAGTAATCTGATGCTTGCTTGACAACCTACCTTTTTTACATGGCTTTGGTGGCACAACAGGACCAGGCTCTATGTTATCGTAGAAGTTGCACGTAGCTTTTGGATCAAAGTTACCTGTCAGAAAAAAGTACGATAAGTAGGAACACATAATTCAAAGATAATTTATTAGTGTCCCAAATATCTTGGGGCTTCAGATTTTATATAATATTTATCATTATATTCTATTTTAGCTTTTTCCTGTGCATCTTCTTGTCACATATGTTCACTTCTGTGCTAATTCGAGTTAATTTTCTGCAAGTCAGTCCCATATTTAAAGAATCAAATCCACTGCAATGCTCTGGATTGCTTTAATGATATGTGAATAGGCAAAACTTGTTGTAGAACACATTCTCGGTACAAAAAAATATACTGTACATTTTTAATCTATGTTGATTAAGTGTGTCATTTTCTGTCAAAAAATCCAACCAGCCAAACAAAAAATGCGACTTGTGTATCTTGGGTAGATTTTTGGCTGCTAGCATCTTTGAAATAAAAAATAACTTTGTCAAGTACAGGTTAAGCCACCATTTACAAATGTTTTAAATGTCAGTAAGTCAAGTTTATGCAATTGTAACTGAAAGAGACTTCTTTTAGCAATAACTTGGCATCAAAAAAAAAAAAAAAATCAAATTTTTAAAGAAGTCCAGGAACAGTATCCACATTTCAGCACATTCTATGTCTAAATCATGTTTTGCAAGAACACGGAAGCCGGTACCTCTAGACTGAAGGAGGTCAACTTCTTTCAGTGTACAGTCAACATTTATCTGGAGCTGTCGGTTGAGGCTTCGCAATCTGGTCATTTCCTCCGGCTAGGAAGAAATAACCCAAAATAGCAAGTGAAGTAAAGTCAGCATCATATGTAATATAGATATAGCAATATTATGTCTGCTAATAGCTTTCTTAGACTGAAGCACCAAATAAAATAGCCAACATTACACTGTGTTTTCCTCTCCTGTCCCAATTTCTTCCCTTCAAAAACGGACTCCTCCACTTGGCATTTGAGAAAGTGAGGTGCAAAAATATAAAAACATTACCACCACCAAAAAGTGAACAACAGTAAAAATCATTAGTAAAAATACCTAAGTATGCTCATGTGTTTTACATGCCTACCTCTGCCACTATCACTACAGCCAATGTATAGAAATGCTGAAATTTGTACAAACTGAAGACTGCTGCTCCAGCAGTTCACATCAAGATCATCAGGAAATAAAATACAAATGACAGTAATTCATATACAGTAACTATATTCTTTAATTATAATTGAATAAGATTAGATTTTGTTTTCTAGGCCAGTGTTTGTAAGTCATTTAATGCTGAATGACATTAATTATTCTCAAAAGAAGTATTAGATGCTTAAGTCCATGTATTTATCATKAAGAAACCCAAAGCTGTTGGGGTACAAAATGACCTTAGTGTTAGCAGTAGCAACTACTAAAACAGATACAGGAAAAAAAATCATAACATCCTATCTTAGGATACATTCCGACATCACAGACAGAAAGTACCTGACAAATGCTGCCCTAAATACCTGGGCTGGGTGAGACGTAGAACAGAAACTCAGGTTATGGAGCCAACAACCTCTAATGATCTTTCTATCCTACCTCCGTCCTCACTGTTTATGTCAACACAGTGAACAAGACTGAACTGATTCGGCTAAAAACTTCAAAGCTGAAGTTAGTTTTTGGTCGAATGAGCTGTCATTTCAAGATTGCTGCATAGCCATAGAGATGTCCTTGCTGGAGTCTCTTACGGGTGGATGTCACCGAGACAGGATGAAATAAGAAGGACAAGACAAGGGAGAAGTGCCAACTATTTGAGTCAGTGCTGCCAATGAACAGTTGCTTGTCACATTACATACATAGCAAAAGGGAAGAGGAATGTCTAAGAGATGCACAACTATGCAAGCAGCAAAATACCTTGATTGAATGCAATACCTTTACATAAAGTGTGAAGGTCTTCTGAATGAACACTCAAGCTGCATAAGGCTCAGGCTCTTTTATTAGCCTTCACCATATACCTTGATAGGAAAGCAATTATTGTTGAGTTCCAAAAAACTGCTCCAAATACTGAAGATTTTAAATATTTTAAATACCTAAATATTTTGCCTCTGCTTCATGAAAGTATAAGAAATAAGCTTGTACCTTTAATTAAAATACTAACAAATTGCTTACTGTTGGAATTGCAGTCGTACAGCTAACTCTTCGAAGTCGCCTCTGCATTAGATCATGCTCCATACCGTTGACTTCAGCTTTCAGACGTTCAAGTTCTTCTTTCTCAAGCTTCAGCTCCTTTGCTAATCTCTCCATCCTTGCTCGTTGATGCAACAGCAAGGCTAGTATGTTTTACATGGRAGAAATAGTTACTAAAAGACAAAAACCTGGAAAACTGAACTGCTTGTTGTGTGTACAATTCATGAGTGACCTTTCTGGGAAGAAAAAAAGTGATCATAAACATGCATTCAAATATCAGTGTGAAGATGTTTTCATGCCAAATGAACTACAATTTTAGGAGACAGCTATTCCATAATAAAAAGAAAACAACACATTTTACACAGTAACTTGAAGTTGATATTACCATTTTGGTCAATGCTTCTTTTTTTTGTATTTGGTCTTTCTTGTCTCAAAAATACAAAGCACCTGTATGAGGAGAGAGCTTCTCAGGAGGAGAGCACAACCTAACTCTACTAATAATGTAGAGTGAAAAATAAATATCAGAGGCAAGATCYAAAGAAAACACATACTTAAGAGTTRCAGTTCAACAAAATCTCTGACAAACTAATGCATAAGAAGCAAGGCTGTAAGATATTAGCCAAAAAGCCAATCCTTAATTGGCTTTTACATCACAATTTCATATTATGCAGTATCATCTTTAAGCACTCTTAGCTTTTCAGAAAGCACTTTAACATCCTATACTATTGATTCACCTGCACTCAAAGGCAAAGCTACAAAAGGGGAGAGGGGAAAAAAAATACTAATAAAAATGGTAATAATAATAATTAAAAAAAAAAAAAGTTGGGGAACTCAGATCTTCCAGGATCTTTAATTCCTCTGTGATATTGATTCCCTGCTCTCTAAACTTTCTCTGCCATTAATCAGTAACTATCTCATATTACTGTCACAGTACCCAAATGCCTAACTCTCAGTTACAAGCTCATATTGGCTTCTAAAGCAGCCACCCAGTCACAGAAAGAATTTGGACTTGCTAGCAAATAATATTCAGTCTTTAGAGGAGAAGTATTTCTCAGTATTTTATCACAAGGTCAAAAYTGGACAATTTATTTAGCAAATGCTCAGCACTATCTGATCTACCTGTTTTTCCTGATGAAAGCCTACTGGAACAGAGAAAAAGAACTGGAATTTGCGCTGATACTCAGGTAAGCAGACTGCCCAGATCTTGCTAGCAAACTGTTCACCAGTTCATGCTGACAAGCAGAATTTTAGATAAATGCAGACACAATACAACCTGCAAAATGCTATTTTATACAAAGCACCCGCAAGCACCTCTACTTTTCTTCACTTCCATCCCAAACAGGAAAAGCAAAACCACAGAATATTGCAAGAATACTTGTATACTAGCTGAGAAAAAAAAGCTAGAGAAATAAGCAGCCATATGATATCCTTGGTGGAGAAGGATAAACAACAAAGGAGCATAAAAATGACAATGTTCTTATCAGATGCCACTATCCTATGTAAAATAGTAGCACTGTAATTCAGATTGTGTGTGCAACTACTATCRTCAAAGAATAAAGACTGAAAATCTTACCAAAGAATAGCATCAGATGTTGTTAAAACACAGGCTTCAAAATTATTCCCTACCTTTTAAAATTGTCTAAATCATTCAAGTTTAGTTTGGGAGATCACAGAACTAAAAATGTCCAGATATCATATTGTATGATTTTTTATTATTAACAGATCCTGTCTTAGTATGGGTCCCCTAATTTAATACCTGGTATGACTTTATTACACATCTTGATTTATACTCTAGTACAATTCAAATGTGACTCATGATACAACAGTACTGAAACTAATTACTGGTAATACTCTATCAGGGGTTCGCATTAAGGAAAAAGTTAAATGCACTTCTTCCCTATATTATACTCTTAATGTTCTTTTTTTTTGTGTCTCATTTGTGGTAGCAGAGAATATAACAGTTATTCTTTTACAATTCATTTCTATTAGGAGTTCACAGTGGAACACAGCAAAGGCTAAGAGCTCAGCTGTGGTAAAGATTTCTATAACAGTATATGTCTCCAAAAGCACCTAGCAACTAGCTTTATTATTTTTCAAGGTACACGAAAATCTAGACASAAATCCAAAAGCAAAATCAGACTTCCAGAATATACTTTTCTCCATTATGTGAAGCTATGGTTTTCCTGCATAAAGACTTTTACGAAGTTGTAATAGGAACACTATCAGAGAAAGCATATGGCCATGGAGGTACAGAACCACTGGCATTCTCTCTACTAACCATTTCTATTTGGTCTACCAGCTACGAAGCAGCTCTTCTGCTGAGGAGCTAAAATAGCTCTAAAGATGAAATTAGAACTCAAGAACAACTGGACAGCATAAACACTGATAAGCATAATTGACAGCATAAACACAGAGATTTCAGCTCTAAGGTGAAAGGAAGAATAGAAGTAGTGGTGCAGGTAGAATATACTGTCCTTTCCTAACACAAATCCAGAAGCAAAGCACATTCTTTAAATCACTGCTGCTGATTAGCATCCTGTCATTACCCCCAAGTGATCGGTTGGAATGCCTGCAGACTGACTCATTAGCTRTTTCAACTGTTTTAAATTTAGAAAGCAGATTACATTCAGAAAAGTAGCTGTCAGCTAACAGTTAGGTCTCCCCACTCCTGTTTTTTTTTTTTAAATGTCATTAGTTAAGTTACATGCATAATTAAGCCTATTTTCTGTCCCTAAGCAACAGAATGCACTTCCTAGGATCTGTAGAGTAAGATCTCTGTCCTCATTGAAAAGTGTAAGCAGAAGAGCATTTCTCATTTTTTTTTTTTCAAAATAATTATTTTAGTTCCTCTTAAAAATCTATGGTTTGCATTGACATGCAACATAACTCAAACTGCAAGYGACCTCTCTCTCCTTTTTTACTTAGTAGTCTTCAACCTAAACTAAATGAATTCTAATTCATTTTGGAAGTTATGCTGCTTCAGGTTTTATGCAATACCACACCTTGCAGCCAAACTAAAGATAATGAAATCTACACATAAATTTATGTCATAGTTCTTAAAATCAGAATCGACAAACTCAACATGTGACATATAAACAAAGTACTTCTGTCAACTGCAGTAGTCTCTTAAGAAATGTGTCACGTCAAAACCATGTCATCTTTAAGAACCTCAAAAATACTGTTCATATTAGATTGAAATTTGATAGAAATGGAACAAACTGTCAATAGATGAATTTGATGCAAGTTATTTGTGTTTGCCTCTGTACAGATTCAGTATTTCCCACCTGAGTAACAAATCAAGCTGAGAATGCTTTGTACGGTAATACAATTTGCAAAGCAGAAATATTTACCTTGAGTGTAAGCATAGTCATCTGATCCAGAACTAGAACTTCGCTGGTATTTATGGCTTCCTTTTTCTCCTCCACCTCCTGGGACTACAGAAATAGGCTGAATAGGCTCTGGCGCTGCAGAACGCTCTTCTTGGTCCACTAAATTTAAAAGATTCTCAGTCGGTGCTCGACCTACTGTGATTTTAAAAATGGTTGGATTTGGCTGAGACACCAGTACCCGAGGAGACTGTGTTGGTGCACCTGCAGGTCCGGTCGGTTGAGTGTAGGTAATATATACTGGATTAACGCTGAACGGAGGTTTGGGCTGACCTGACATACCTCTGGATGGAGAGCTTGAAGGAGGGGTGGTGGCTGTATACAGTGGGTGCTGGTTTCGCTGAGATGGTTGATTACTTATTGGAGAAGGACTTCTATTCATTGCAGTCCCGGGTCTTTGTGGTGGCTCAACGGTAATTTCTATTTTATTCATGGAACCTTTGGATAAACTAGGCCCACCATAAGGAAGATACGATACTGAGTGACTACCTTGTTTTTGATAGGTCTGGGATGCTTGCTGATGATATGGATGGGGTGGCACAGTTGAAGGACTAGGTGGCATGAAAACATGTGAAGTCTGATGACTCAGCTGAGGGGGTTGAACTTGGTGCTGAGGAGAGCCAAAAGGAGAGGGACACTGGGATGCCGGTGGTGATCGAAAAGCTGTCTGAGGAATCTGGGGTTGTTTAGGAGAATACTGAGAAGGCTGATAATTCTGTTGATGTGGATAGACAGGGAGAGGACGTGGAGTATAATGTGGAACTGGGCCCTGTGGTGACGAATGCCACTGTGTATTCTGAGGAGTCTGTCGTCCTGAAGAACTTTGAGATGTCTGTCGTATATAAATTGAGCCAGGAGTCCCATAAAGATTGCTTGGAATCTGTGGAAGAATTTGTAGAGCTCTGGGTACACTTTGTCCAGAGGGGAGGTTTTGTGATACTGTAACAGTAATGGGATTTGTACTGTACCGAGGTATGTGCATATACGTAGGAGGAGGGCCTTGCATAGCAGACGTGTTCATTCCTGGTTGTATGGAAGATGGCTGTGGAGGTGGCTGTGGAGGAGGAGTAGCTGCATTTCTATTCTGGTCATTCATGAAAAATGGATTGTAATTAGGAGAAGCTGCCACAACAGCGGGAGCAGAATGTGGTTCTTGAACTAAGCATATCAGCTGTTTACCTGCTGTGCGTTGCGGATCAATATGTCCATCGCTTGAGCTATGTACCAGTGTACGACCACCATTAAGTTGAGCTCCATCCCCTGCATGATAGCTGGTATGAGGATGAATGCCCAGATTAATGTGCAAAAGGCTATTTCTATTCATTCTGGTGTCATCAGGGCTGTGGTACTCCATATATAAGTACTTGTTGCTCTCCTGTGCAAGGGCTCGACAACAGGCATCTAGATTGTTGTTGTTCTAGGAATAAGAATGAATGTCTGTTATCACTGAAGCACAGAAAAAGCACCCACTGTTCACAGTATTCAACAAACATTCAACTGAAGCTGCACTTAAGCCCATCTTGAGTACAGTGAGGGATAACTTTTCACTGCTGCAGGTGACACAACCATGAATTTTGAAATTCATGGCCATAACATGCAAGGAGTASAGACTGCATGTTGCCTCTGAGCAAATGCTATGGTGACACTAGCTACTGCATGACACAAAAATCCGCAAGACTAGGTTAGGATAAAGCAACTTAGAGCGCTTGGCATCCTCTGCAAAGAGTAGGTATGTCTAATAGGTTACCTATTTCTAACAACACAAATCAAACTAGATCAAAACAGAAGATTCTGTAAAAGTCCAAACAAAATTACAAAGTGATTTAATAACTTGCAGAATCAATTCAGCAACTTCTGCTTTGACTTTGGTTTGTAAGTAACAGCTCTATTTTTTTTTAATCTAATTTTGCATGACTTCTTCCTTTCTTCTTTAGTAGTGTTTATAGAATCTAGACCTGATTTGTTTTACTGACTGCTTACTGTTTTTACCTGTATCTYTTTGTTTACCCAAGTATTTACTCTTTACATCAGTTTTTCTGGTAAGAACAGAATTTAGTGCCTCTAAAAAAATAAAATAAATAAAATCAAGTAAGTTATGTCAGAATAAGTTGCATGAAAGCATACTGGTAATTTATAAAGTCCTTTATAACCGCAACATCACTTCAACTTTCTTAAGAAAACCTTTGTTGTAGAATCTTTCTTGTTTTAGAAATAAAGTACTAGGAACAACTACATGAAAAACAAAACCATGATAATGAAAAAGCAGACTAAGTAGACTACTAAAGGTTTTTCATTCTACAGAGATAAAGTTACATAGACTCTTAAGACATTTTTAAACTCTTGACCATACCTGAAGCATGCACTGAGACACCACACCTTCAGGAATCTCAGGGAAACGTTGCCGGAGATCATGGAGTAGCTGCATATCGAGCTGTTGACTGCCCTGCGCCATGCCAGACTGGTGGTGTTCCAGATTATCAAAAAATGGAAGTCAATAGGCCTTCCAGTGATTATGATCTTCTGATGCTTCTGGCATTTTCTGTGAGTGAGAAAACATAAACAATTACTTCTAAGCAAACACAAAGCTTTTTCTTCACTCGCAAGTTGCATGTGTAAATATATGATTGCATTGCATTTCTAACTCTAGTTATCAAGAGAGACAAACATTTAAGTGAAGGAGTGGAAATCATCAAGTCTCAAATTATAATCCCTGAAGATTTAGCCTACCACAGGTAGGTCTACATAACAGTTCACTGGAATATGCTGGCGAACATCTTTACACAGCCCTATTGCAGCACCACACAGGAATGTCTTAATCCAACCTGCATGAAAGGAACTGTTATCAATTTACTCTCAAGGAAATTCTAGACAGTTTGTAGAAAACTGCATTTATCACAAAGCGTAAGTATTTTTGATTTTTACAAGATGCCACAAATAACAGTCTAAAAAGCTAGGCAGGCATAACTACCCGATATTCTTCTTCTACCACTTAAACCCTTTGCTCTTCKTATCATTGTATGCCTCAAAAGTTGGAAACTATTTCTATGAAACATGACAGGAAAAGGTGTTAAATGGAGTTCAAAAAGTAATTATTAGGATTATGTTAAGCATCTATTTATGATTTTTGTAAAGCAACTACTACATTCATACTAAGATGATTAATGAAAAGAAAAACTCTTTCCATTCTAGAATTCTTGTACTCAACAGCATGAAGATACTAGCCAAAAGCCAAAGAGCACTAGAAGACAAATGCTGTCTAACTGAGCAAAAACTTTTCTCTTTGTGATTCATGACCATAGCAATAATCACAGATGGCTAAGGCCCAGATAAAGATTTGCAAATACATTCCAGTATTAAAACTGTCCCATTGCCATCTTTCCAAAGATAAATGAGACATATCCTGCTGTGATTTAATAACTACAGTAATAAATTTACACTGTAAAATCATTGTGCAGTTCTGCCTACTCCAAGATGGCCACAGACCCCCGTTTCATTTTAAATGGAAACTTTTAAAAAGCTTCCACAGAGAACAATAGCTAAGGTGAAACTGCATCTACACAACTAGTAGGGTATCTTTTTTTAAAGCTAATTTTTCACACATCAAACATCCTCATCTGAATTCAAAGACACAAGACTTCTGAAAGACCAACTGACTCCAACCAAACTCTRTGTGTTTCTAGACAGCTCTCCTTCCAGGAGGCAGGAGTAGAAAGGCAATCCTGGAAGGGTCTGCTACCTGAAGAAACCAAATTTAAAATCCTTCTTCGATTTTAAATTTGGACAGTACAAGGACAGTATCTGAAATAAAAAATAATCATTTAATATTTCATTTGTACAACCAAAAGCTTTCACCATGTTCCTCTGTTCAAATGTAAATTCAAAAGATCAATAATCTCTGCATACAAGCTTTTGCAATAGTCTAAACTAAACATTACTTCAATGATTTTCCAAGTCATCCTGAAAATCTGTGGTATGTACAGCTGTAATGGCCAATTATGAAGTTATTGCAAGGAACCAAAATAATCAATCAGTTTTATCAAAGAATTCTCTTCCAGACAGGAGTTATGGGTAACAGACCTAAACTTTCCATACTCATTTTTAAGATTCAAAGCATCTCACAGTTAGCCAGATGGCCTCCAAAAATCTGGGAGAAACATGAAACAGTTGTCAGGAGAAGTGCGGACACAAAATCATTCAGGATTCCACAGATTCCCTGGTTACCATTATCCCTTCCTTGAGCCAGCACTTTGCTCGACCTGCTGTTGAGCCTTTGATCAACCCAACTCCATACTTTCCAGGCAAGTGGACCCCACACGGCTGGCACACAGAGAAGAGCTTAATGTTCCTCAAGAAGGAGGAGCAAGGAGCTCAGAAAGCCAGGAGGAGCTCCTTTCATGGGGAACGCACACAGCTAAGAGGGACAGAGTTCCTGCTAAGACTCAGGAGCTTGGAAATGGAAATAATGTAGTCTTGATTCTCTTGACAGAATGTGTTTACATATATTCAGAAGGAAATGATAACAGATGTAAAATGTTTTTTTTTTTTTTTTTTTTAAAGAATCACCTAAAATAAAGATACACAAATGATCAACGATAGTCAGTTGACAAGCTAAGTAAATGTGTATCATGAGAAGTGTTTTGAATTATGTACTGGTGTTTATATATGCAATTATAACATATGCAACAACTAAAATGATCCCTGAACAAATTTCCAGAAAATGAGTTAGAAAACTACTTTTTTTCAGGCCATATCAGTTTAACAGAGTAACGGAGGGGGAAAAAAAAYAACACGCAAGTAAATGAGTTGATTTGTAAGAGTCAACATTTCAAAAGCATCCTGCTTCTATAGCTTTTAAAACAAATTCCTTATCTTAAAAGAGTTAAATAATCTTTCACTTAAAAGTAAGAAAAACATGGATAGAGTTATGTAGGGTCAAGAAAATAACCTCAATTTTTCCTCTCAATACTAAAGAAAGAAATGTATTTTTTAAATTATATTATCCTGACTTCGAGTTAAAGCTGCCACTTGCTGATAAMAAGTGGCTCTACTACACAGTATACAGATGAATTCAATCCAGTATTTCTAAATTAATCTAATTCCCTCTCACTCACCACTGTTGATAAAAGTGTTGAAGACAACTTGTGGCCTTCAGATTCATATATGCAGTAGAAATATTATTGCTTAACATAGTTTTCTTTGCAGAGTATTTCCCCCACACAACTGACAGGCTTTTGAGAAAGGGCAAGAGAGGGCTGGAGGAAGCTGGCAAAGTTGAATGTCCTCATCTATATCTAAATATCATGGAAACTTGAGCACCAAGTTTTCAGATACCATGTAGTTTAGGCCAAAAAAAAAAAAAAAAAAAAAAAAAAAAAAAAAAAAAAGTAAAATCACATCAGCTGCTTGATCACGGGCTCTTTAGAATGCAAAATACATTAGTATTATATGCAATTTAGTACACAAAGTGATGAACGTATGTATTTTTACCAAGCTAAGCTGTGACTTCGAATTTAGTGACAACTTATTCTTGTGCAGTAAATATGAAGCAATGAATTCAATAAACAGTTATACAATCTAAACTCATGACAGTAGCCCCTATACCCCTATTATCTGTTTAATTATCACAGGGCAACTTACAACTCATATCTATTTATCATTTGCTACTGGCATTTAGGTATAAACCTAAGCCTTAATCTTACTATCATTACTCTTGTTCTGAATTGTACAGAAGAACACAGCTGAAATATTCTCATAGAACAAAAACTTTCCTTATTTTCCAGGGAAAACTGTAAGGCTAAATAATGCATGAAGGCAGGAACTGAGAGAGCAGAAATTAAGAGATTTAACATTCAAGAGATACTAAATTCTGAAACTCATTTTCATTAATCTCAACATATACAGAAATATTTTCACCCAAAACTACAGTATGATTAAAAAATGAGATCAGAAAATAATGAAACCAAAAGAAAAATATTACATGAAATAATTTCTTATCAACATTTAACACTCATTTCTAGTCACTTTACTAAAACAGACACTTCGTTTTCAAAGTCAAGCTAAATTAACATTAAGCTGGCTACAGCATGAGTTCTTACTTTGAAATGTAAGAACCTGAATACCATTTAAAATCTTTTTCTCAAAACTTACTTATTAAAAGGAAAAAGGCTGTGAGTGCCTATTATGAACAATATTCAGTTTTCTCAATGCAATTTCTATCCATGTTATGTTTCTCTCAGTTTGGTCATGATGACAAATCGTGATCATGGTCATGACATTCTTGAAATTACATTTTCAATACTGTCTCCATATTATTTTGTTTTTCTGGAGTTAGTCTTGAAAATGTTACCCCCTCATCTTTCCAGGAAAAATAACAGGAAAAAAAAAAAATCTCTAATCTCAAAGGCCACTCCTGCTCCAAGCACAAGAAAGCTAACATTATTAAACTTGCTCTATACAAAAGCAGTATTTCTAAAGTATACAGCAAACAAAGTACATACAGTGCCAAAGAAATAAGAACTCTTAGATAAATTAAAACATCTATTTCATAATTGAAAGAACCGTTTCTAAACATCTACTAGTACATTCATCTTTCATGCCTGTTACCTAAGATGTCTGGAAATAATCCAACCAAAGTCAGACAGCTATTCAACTAGGGTGGTGTTCTTTACCGGGCACAGCACTGAAAAGACCTTCCCAGCAATCTAGTATTTTCCCTATATTGATATTCATTTTATTGTACTACTTTAGCGTAAACAAAAATATCCTAGCTGCATTAAGATTAGCCTATACATTGTAAGTATGTATCTTTAAAACCTGCAGCACAAAAAAAATTCCCAGGTAAAAGTTTTCCATCACTCACAAAAATAAAATATCATCATGTCTTCCAAATAATAATAAATGCTTTAGAATCATCACTGGAAATTGAAAAATTGTGATGCAAGTCTCTTGAAACTGCCAAAGGGAAAGAATTTCAAAGTTTTTATTTACATTTGCACATAAACAAATTGAAAGCTATTCATTGATCCATGCATTCATGTTGGTCTTCTGAAAGTCATTAACCTCTAAGCAAAGCCTTATGCTGAGGAGCCTATGCTTAAGAGGCAGCCATCAACTTAACTTCTAGAAGAGACAGGCTGACAAGCTTCTGCTGCCTCCACAGCCAGAGCGGAAGAAACTGCACTTTAAAACTTCAGGTCACTTTCCCATGATTCATTCAATAATGTCCTCTACAAATACTATTTCTGAAAATTATGATTTTAAGTAGTGAAGGCAGCCAGCTCTATACAACTGCTAAGAACACAGCAGTTCAGGAGGTCCTATCTCCTTCATCTCCCTTGTCACATCAGTTCTGTGCTTGAGAATACTAGAATTCCACTGTACACTGCCTGTCTATTGTAAAACATGAGCAGACTGGAAAGTAACGATGAATTCCTTTTTCAGAGACAGATCTAGAAAGCACCAAAATGAATTTTTTTTTTTTTTTTAATTTCTTGCCAAAATAAATAGGCTTTTGGTGAATGAAGTCTACATTTCTAAATG